GGCACACTGTCCAAACTGCTTATCCCTTTCTTTGTGAATTTTTTTCAGCTGTGCCTTAGTACCACACATTTTTTGTGTACATTTCAGGAATTTCAGTACTGGCTCTCGAAGTATTTTCTTAGTAGGTCGTTTGAAGGATATTGTATGCTTGATATTTTGGTTTTTCTTGGGATGATCACATACAGTTGAAAGATTTATTGAAGATAGAGATTTTGAACGTCGTCTACCCAAGAACGGGTTACGACATTGTGGCTCCTTGCTTGCAACTTTCGTTGCGCATTCCACATCCAGTTCCAGCTTTTCCAGGCAATTTAATAAATTTGCGTCTTCTCGGGTTATTGCGGCCTAAAAATAAAACGTGGGTAAATGTCTGCTACTGACGTTATTTGTCAAAACAGAAACGTGATTGTGCACTATTTCTAGAATGTTCACATACCATCGCAAAAAGTTGTAATCATTATATTATTGCGATAAAAAAGTGCAGAGGCAGTAGCAAGTTGCCTCTTAACGGTTTCTTTATACTTTCTTCACTTTTCACAATTGTTTACAAACACAAATGCATGATGTTTTTACAGACACCACAAATAAAATGACTGACGACTTATATGAAAAAATTAAAGACGAAAGCCAGCGTTGCCAGACGTCCTTTCTAATTTCCATAAGGGTATGTACACCTTTATTCATAAGTTTTTCGTACAACAAAGATAACGAATAGTTAAGCCTCCCGTTACGTTAATTTAGACAGCGACAGCCAATAACAAATGTCCACGAAAAAAGTATTTATGACTTCTAAAGTGAACCGTGGCAATATGAGTATAATGACTACTGACAGTCATGTCAGATTGCTTATTATTTTCGCTTAAACGATGTGAAGCTAACCCCAAATTTCCGAAACCATGTTGATTTTTTTCACATGAAAGTTAAAAATACATGTTTAAAATCATAGAACCACAGAGGGACAAGCGACCACAAAACTAGAATGAAAGGCTACCATTACACATTACGGATATAACAAAATGCACTTATTTTTATCTGTAATGTAAACATGATATGTCTACAATATGTCAACCAATATTTTTACATAAGATGAAATGATTTAATCAAGTTTATCCGGCCGTACAAATCCGGCAACAGCATTGCTTAAAGAAGATCTAATCTTACGAAATAAGCCTTCCCTGGGTAGGAAGTCAATTCTGTGCTAATGGATACTGGAGCTTTCTTATTTCGATAACGGATGATTGTTTCGCTGATACGCAAAATCGATCGAAATAAGGAGGATCATAACTCATAACGAAGGCAGCAAAATAAATAAATACATACCCTGCAATCTCTTCCTGTTTGCCCGCTAAACTATTCGTTTCGTCGCTATTTGTGCGATGGCAGCGCGCGCCTAGTGACCATAATTATTCGGGGCTCGGAACCTGTCAATTCCTAGCAATTAGATGTTGTGTGTGTTGTGCATATGGGACAAAGTAATTTGCACACTTGCACAAAACACTAATGTGACAGTATGTGCGGGATTTGAATCAATAAAACCAGGCAAAGCTCCAACCTCAAACAGCATGAAAGCAGGGGGGTTGTTTAAGATTCAGCTCCCAGGGTTACATCGCCATCTATAAGACACTGAGCCTTTTCAAAGAATATGTTGTAGCAAAGGTATAGAAACAGCTGTAGCAAATTCTTATAGATAACGATACGATAACTCACCACGGATAATTTTTTGGACGCGGGAATATATAGCATTAGGTTGGCTATTTTCAGGTAGAATTCGTTATTCAATGGTATAACACCACCAAGAGAGGGAGAGACAGAGAGATCAATACTTTCCTAAATGTTTGCTGTATATCTCAAGCCGTAATAAAGCCCATATAACCTTTTTCATGTACTCATCCAGTATATGGAGTCTGCTCGTTGTAATAAAATGATCTATACAAATTTTTCAAAATGCAATTGCCTTTTCTAAACGGTTGGTTAGTTCTCCAAAATTTGCCGGTAAAATATCAATTTCTACGACCTGGAGAAATGATATTGAACTAGGCAACGCTGATATATTAAAAGCAGCTACTTGTCAATTTGTATTTGTTGCCCAGCATGATTGGCACATGACCAAAAGCGACCTCTATCTTAAATATGGCGGTATTTTTGAATTTTTCATATCCCATATATTTTTTATTTATCTACAATAGATTATTTTCTAAATACAAACAAAATATTTTGGCTACAAAAATGTGTGGATTTATGATATATGGTTGTCGTCCAAATGTATAACAAAAAAGAAGTGAGATCACGTGATATTACAGAACCAAGGAACAAACGAACCGACCACATCAACAAACGAAATTTTCTAATGGCAATTCTCTCACGGCTTTTGTCACATATTGTGAAAAAGAATTCAGTCGCTCTGTTAACGCAGGGAATTTTAAGCAAAAATTCGAGTGGCAGCAAAGTTCCGTTAGCCGCATATTACGATCCCACTCCACGCAGAACCGTTGTTCGCCGCTTACTTCAGTCGGTTGCAGTGTCAGTAGGGCGACGTGCTGTATATAGATCGATAAGCGAGGGCGGAAAGCGCTTTTATTCTCAACTTCCAGAAAGAATTGTGAAAATGCCCGAAGAAAAGTCTTTCCAGAGACTACCTGAAAATGTAAAACCAAAACACTACCAGCTATCGCTAGTGCCGGATTTAAAATCCTTCACTTTCCAAGGATCGGTGTCTATTCAAATTGAGGTAGGTAGGCCCTAAATTTTACGATTCACCATATGCCTCCATTTCTGTATGGCAAGGTTTAGGAGAGAAATGCATTCCGTATTTCTGCAATAATCCATAAATTACCATTGTAGGTTAGCAATCAAATCTTGATGTTGGTTTTGATGATGAAAATTGTAAACTGTTCATCATTGAATGATTTATAAATCTTATAACCCCAATTTTCTTGTGCATGAAACTACGGCATAATTTTGTTTTATTGAAATGCAGATTATTATAATTTTAATGCGTAATACCTTAATTTGTAGTCAACACTACTATAATATAAAAATTTATTTTTTTAGAATAATTTTCAGAGATGTTGTTTGCTTGATTTCATTTCAAAGGTACAACAAATATCAAAATAGAATTGTCACATCCAGATAGCTGCATACTCAGTTTGAGTTCATGGTTTTGTATCAACAAAAAAATCATACAGCTGAAATAGTAAGCTAGGAAACAATGAACATCTCAAAGATCTATGCTTGACCACCATTAATGATGCCTGAAATCGATGAATGAAATATGCTTAATAGGTGTGTAGAATTACTGGGGTAGGAGGTGTATTAATACCAACATCCAAAAATTAAGATATACCCACCCGTATGTTAACCCCTAATCCCCAAAATGATCAGGATCCTTTGAAACATCAAAACCTTAAGTTTCAGCAATTTTTATTTATTTTTCTAATTTGTTCTGTTTCTCTGCTGCTAGTGGACATATTTACAAAAACTACAAAGCTTCTTCAGCCTTGGCAGTAGTAACATTCTATAAAAAATTCAGTAAAACCATAGACAGTTGTAATATTAGTGGACCTGCAGACAGACCAGCAGAAATGAGTGACTTGGTTTTTTGTGATGTACATTTCAGATAATATCCAAAAACCATAATAGTACACTTTCAATTTTTTTGGGACTACAATACTTCCTTGCCAGTCGCTTGGAAAGTAAAAAGGTGAAGTTTTGCCAAAACCTAGGCAAAATTTGCCATTACACATTAAAAATGATATGTTGCTCATCTTTAAGTTGCTCTAGTTCACAGACTACCATTTGATTATATTTAAAGAAACCCAGCAAATAGCTTTGCTCTTGTTCTCTTTGCTTCCCTTTCCTCAGAGGGATTGCTGCTTTGTACTTTATACTATTAATTTGCCAATTTGATAATTTTGAATATCCACTTGTATTTAAATTAGATTTGGGATCCAAAGAAACACAGCTTCCAGTTACAAAGTTGCCAAAATTTCGAAATAATGTATTTCCTGCTTTACAGTTCTGTAAAAAATAAATTGAAACACTAACTTCTGCTATACATTAATTAACATTTTGAACAATAAAATCGATGTAAAATATACTTGTTTTAGTTAAGACATATTATATAAAATCAACTATTAAAGCACATATCTAAATTTTATTAATAACAACACCCAAAATATATGTTTATTCTTTATGTGTTTATACAAGTTCTGTAGATTGAGTGATGAGACTGGCAACGTGGCGTGCGATCTCTCAACATTGGAGGCATCAGGCTTGTAGGAGAATACGTGATCGGCCTTCACTAGAAGTTTGAAATCGCCCAAGACATTTCGTTGA